AAATAAAAAATTCAATATTTTGGGACATAATTTTTTTAAAGAAAAAAAAAATTAGATTACGGAGACAAAGATCATCCCTAGTACCCCTTCCTCTGTCTCTTTTTTTTGAAAAATATAATTCATTAATTATAATATCAAATATTACAAATATTCAAATAGGTCATACATGAAATTTTCTATTAGAAGTTAATAGAGTTCGCTGATTTTTTAATAAAAATCAAAAGAATTATATATATTCTTTTGAATAATAAAATAAAAAAAAAAGATAATATTACATCCTTCCACTCGAAGATGATATTGACAAAAGATGTAAATCTTGGTAATAAAAACTAGTCATTTAATTGATTTGGATAACAAAATAATAACTCTTCTAGATCTTTTATATCTGGATTATTTTTTTAAGTACTTGCTACATATAATGTACACATACGAGTTCCTATTACTATACATCAATAGAGGAATATGTTATACTACCAGACCATATGAATCAAAAATCAACATCTGCAAAAATAAAATCTAAAGTTTTCAACCAAATAAAATCAAATATTACACTTTTATTTAATAATAAACTCTCACAAAGAGGTAACCAAACTCTCATAAAGAAGGAAAAAAAAATCTAAATGTGGAGAAAAACAACAATAACAAAAGCCAAAACAGATCTATTATAGTAAAAAGAGATCTAAATTTATTAAAATTGAATAAAAGATTAAAAGAAAGAAAGTAGAAGTCAAATTGAAGAAATAATAAAAGGTAGAGACAACTGCTGATCAACAGCACCGTAAAGTAAAATTAGGGTTAGACAGTTAAAAAGAAAAGAGAGAATTTAAATTCAATATAACAATCACTCAGTGATCCTTCCTCTATTATTGGATAAATGCAGAAAACTAAATGCCGGACCCATAACATTATCATGACAATTAAGCAAGCAAAAAGCACATGTAATTAATTTTTTTAGACATTTAACACATTAAACATGATTTTTTCCAATTAGTGAAATTTGATGGTACAAAATATAAAACACTATATATATGCTTCCTAATATAGAAATTGCATGTAGAAAGGTGAGTTTATGGTTAGGTATACAAAATGGTAAGTGATGAAGTGACGATAACAAATTTATTACTTAGAAGAAATTGTTAGTAACCATAGAAACCACAAAATTGAAATCTTTCCCACCACATGAGATGGATCTTCCAAACTTGCATGAAAAAGACATCAAACGAAACCCCACCACGTGATTCCAATGTTTAATTAAACTCTTCCTGAGGTATAGATTACCAAGTGAAAGCTGCCCATACCTGATTACTATAACTAGATATTTTTCTCTTACAGTCGTTGCTTAGTTTTTTGGAGAGAAATAAGATATGGTCTTGTGTGTGAAAACGTTGTTGAATCTTCTTCAGAAAGAGAAATTGGTAAGTATGATAGGGATGAAAGGAAGGGGATAATTGCACCCCCTTCAATTTTTTTTTTTTTTTTTAATTCCCTTACCAATGTTGATTTTCGATTCTGTCCGATGAAAAAATTCAATCATCTTTCAACCATTTTGCCCCTTCTCCTTTGTAAAATTTTGATTTAATTAAATTTTATACTATTTTATCGCTCTTATATATATATATATATATATATATTCAGTGTATTACAGAGAGGACGTGATTTCAAAATATAAGATTATTTTAAAAAATATATATATCCGATCGAGATTACACTTACTATGATAATTTTTTATAAAGTGAAATTATATTTTTCTATCCATTTTTCTCCACGTGTTATATATATATATGTTGATTTATAACCTTGTTGAACTTCAAACATCTTGAATTCTTCAATAGGATTTTGAATTCTTCAATTTAGAAAAATATTTGTGGGAATTAAGGTTTTAAATCTAATTAAGTTAAAGCACTTATTGTTCATGTTTGGCTAGAAGATATATGTAGTGGTAGATTTTTTTTTTTTTTTTTTTTGGTATAAACCACCGGCATTCGGATCCTATTATTAGAGACTATCTAATTTAATTCGAGGATTAATCACAGTTAAAGCTCTTCACTCCTCTTTGCAGATGTATTTGGTGGGGCTTAATAAGTTATTTATATGTTTTTATAAATGGCTGAGTATTTATTTCATATATGTAATAAATAGGATCATATTAAAGATTTTACAATCTTTTATCTCTTTCAAATTTAAATTCATGATGTTAACAATGAAGTTCAATTTTTGACGCAAAATTGTAGGGGTGAGCAATATCTAGATTTGAGTTGAAAACCATACTGAACTGATTCATTTTGATTTGGTTTGATAAATTTTTTAAAAATCATTATCACTCGGTTTGAACAATAATAGCTTTTTGATTCGGTTTTATATATAACTGACTAAATTAATTTTTTTTAGTCTAAAATAGATGATTCATTTTGAAATAATCAAATTCAATTTGGGTCTCATCCAAAAATCGAATCGAACTATTTCATTTTAGTTTGATTCAGTCAGCTTTCAAAAAACTCGATTGCTATTCTATTTGAATAGTGATACCCGTTCGGTTCAGTCTTATATACAGCTAATCAAATTAAATTTTTAGCTCAAAGTAGATAGTTCAGTTTGAAACAATTGGATTAAATTCAAACCGATTTTCACAGTATTCGATCCGATTAAACCGAATGCTCAACCCTACAAAAATTGAAAAGGAGTGGGGTAGGAGGCAGAAATGTAGCTTGTAAGTCTTTGGATAACACCTAACAATACTAACTACTACAACTTTTTTCTATCTAGAAGCAAGAAAAAGTTGAACGAGGAAGTGAAAGGTTAGCCACACAGGTGTTGTTCTGTTGGATTAGTGGGGCTCCAAAACTTAATTTTAGTGCAATCAAGCAATTAATTGATACAACAAAAAGCAATAACACTTTGAACTGAAGAATAAAAGGGAAAAAAAAAAAAAAAAAACACATAGAATCCTTATAAATGTCTTTGGTAAGAGTTAACAAAAGACACGTACTAATGTACTTTTATACTTATATTCCCATAACAATTGGAACTTTGGCAACAAGTGACAACATTTTTTCTTTTTCTTTCTTTTTTTTTTTCCCCCTTTTTTTGAAGATTATTAAGCATACAGTTAGTTCCAAACATGACTTATTATTCTTTTCTTATTGTATTATTTATATGATTCTGTTTTAGAGGGAAAATGGTTAAAAAGAAAAAGAAAAAAAGAATACATTCTTTGCCTGTTTGTTATTATGACAAGGAACATATATGTTAGCATGTTGTAACCATAAAAGGGCATTTTTGGAGGTTTTCAATCAAGAAATTAAAAATTACAAAGAATTATGTTTTTCTGAAGATAAATGGGAATTGGAATTTTACCATTATAAGATGGACATGACACCTACATAGTCATAGCATCAATAGTAGATTTCTTTTGTGAATTTCTAGCTCCAAAGAAAGTGGAAATATAAGAAAAAAAGGGTTCATCTTACTAACATTTGTTTATATATATAATGATAAGCGGTTCTTCTTAACTAACATTTGGTTTATATATATATATATATATATATATATTATTATATATAACATTGTTTGCAATTATTCAAGATATATATTACATACTACACAGTCTATTTATTCTTTTTTCACTCTTCAATTATTGAGACATTGTTATTTGGTTGGGGAACTCTTATTCTTGCTAAAAACTCTCTTTTATCCTTCATTCTTAAATCACTGTCTTTATGTTATCCAGTTATGGCTTTTATTTAATTTTATTTTATTATTTGTGGGTGTGTATATTATTGTAAAAAAATTTGTATTCTTAAGGCCAATTCTTTGCAGGTTGGAGGTTTTATCTTCTTTTCAATCAAGCAAACCATCAACTCAGAATCAGAATGCCTAAAGAAAGAAAATGCCCTCATTTGGCTTAATTCATTTGCATATTTAATACTTTTCAAATAAATACTTAAGGACCATAAAACATAGTATTATTTGATGCATCATCTATGCTTATCTCACCACCTATAAAACGTTTATAATATTAATTGATCTCCCTAATAATTTTCCCATTTTTCACGTAATAAAAAATTAATAATATCTACTAGCTGCTACTTTATTCCAAGAATTAAATAAGTTTCTTACTTAATTTGTCCTATATTAATTGCGCCGATTTATTTAAATAAATACAGACGGAAAGTGCGATATCTCTGATATGTCTCCTAATATTGTAATATTTAATCTCATATATAACATTTGTTTGCAATTATTCAAGATATATATACACATACACATCATTTTCTTATCACTCTTCAATTATTTGAGACATTGTATTTGGTTTGGACCTTATTCTTGCTAAACTCCTTTTTATCCTTCTTCTTATCCTTCTTATGCTTATCCATTTATGGCTTTATTTATTTATTTTTTTGGGTGATATTATTGAAAAATTGTATTGTAAGCCAATTTTTGCAGGTTGAGTTTATCTCTTTTCAATCAAGCAAACCATCACTTTCAGAATCAAGAATGCCTAAAGAAAGAAAATGCCTCATTTTGCTTTAATTATTTCATATTTAAACTTTCAAATAATACTTAAGACCATAAAATAATTATTGCACATCATGTTCAATTAAAGTTAAAGCTAATTATTTCACGTAATAAAATTAAAATATCTCTAGTCTTATTCCAAGAATTAAATAAGTTCTTACAATTTATATAATTGCGCCATTATAAATAAAACAGACGGAAAGGCGAATCCTGATATGTAATGTAATATTATCTCAAAAAAAAGTTATTAGACAAGTTATCACTCCTTGATTGAAAATTATTAGTTGAAGAAAATTAAAGGGATTTTTTTATTTTAATCATCTGATACCTGAAGTCCACTGGTCTAATTAATCTGAATTCACGTTAGATAGACCCACAAAGAGAGCAAAGCACTCCCTCTCGAGCATGGACTCCATACAAGTGGGGGGTTTGAAGAAGCTACTACACATGTTTTTCCTTTTGTTTTGCCTAGTAAAATCATACTAGTGTTTTGTTGTTTTTTTTCAATTGTTGAAAGGAAGGGGCATTATGGTAAAGGTGGGGGGAAGGGCAGTAAGGTAAAAGTGTATATGTTGTATAAAATCAACAACTATTAACAGAAATTTCAGGATTAAACAGGAAAAAGAATAAAAATGGTTGCAGCTAGTAACTGCATTTCCCTCTCTTCGGTTTTCACATACCCACATGAAAATGAAGTGTTGTTGGCAAAAAGGAAATCCACATGCAAATTTATGGTTTCCAAGAATTGCTTCAAAATGTGTAGGATCAATTGTAAGCTACCAGATAGCGGAATAGAAGAAAATCCCACAAGAAAAGATGCCTCATTGAGCTCAAAAAACAGAATGGAAGAGTACAATATAGCAATGAAAAGGATGATGAGGAACCCTTATGAGTATCACCATGATCTTGGTTTGTTTATTTAATTCCGCACTTTGTTCTTGATTTTTCTTTCAGTTCTATTAAAAATTTTTGTTTCACTCTGCTGAACATTTAGTTCTAGGTTTTTGTTTTTCTCCCCATTTTGTTTTGATAAAATTTCTGTGGAAACATTGGATTTGTGTTAATTGTTTCTTGTTATTGTGTTAGTTGCATTTCTATGGCAATCCAACAGTGCCTTTGTTGATTGTTTTCAATTTTTCAATTTTGGGTTATTGGTCTGTGTTTCAATTCTTGTGCATTGGGAATGGAGGAAATTTTATTAATTTAGGCTGGATCTGGATCTATATGGCTTTCTTTTAGAATAGAATTTGGTTTAGTTTATATTTTCTGATATTTTTCCAAGAATGCAATGCCTATTGCCTGATATAGCTAAATCCAAGGAACCACCTTTTTATGAACTATTTTCATTCCTCATTTTTTTAATGGAGCTGACCCGTTCCTGGATAATGCAGCATGTGCCAGACTCTAGTTCTTATAGAACTTGTTTAGATTCACATATCAATGGCGTTAAGGAAAACCATATCAATATTGTTGATGTGATGTAACAGTTCTTGATTTGAAATTGAAACTACTGCAATTGTTTTTGGATTTTGAATAGTTTAATGTGAATTCATGTGGAGTTACTTGAAAGACAAAGTTCTGTTCTAGTATTTGCTTACTATTGACTATCTGTGGATATTTAACAGGGTGTTTCTCTTTTTTCTGAACCACTAGTTTGTATGTGTGTGTATAAATAGAAGTTTGAAACATTGTAGCTAGGTTATGGATTCAATCATTATATTTTGCAGTTTTGGCTTCCTTGAACTCCATCTTTGATGTGAATAGAATTCAATTGCCTTTCAATGTTTTTGTTTTTGCAAAACTTCCCTAAATGGAAACTACTGATTTACTGACTTCAGGTATGAACTATACACTTATAACCAATAATTTGATTGTGGGCTCTCAGCCTCAGAAACCCGAAGACATAGATCATCTGAAACATGAAGAGAAGGTGGCTTACATTCTAAATTTGCAGCAGGACAAGGACATTGACTTTTGGGGTATTGACTTGCAATCTATAATAAAAAGATGCAAAGAACTTGGAATCCGTCATATGAGAAGGCCTGTAAGAAAATTTTAAATAAGATTTATTAATTCCTGCACTTACTTTAGATGTGTATATATTAGAATTCGATGTTCTACCAGTTATTATTTTGGTGTAAAGTGAATGACTCTGGGAATTGATGTTCTTTTTTTCAGGCAGAAGATTTTGATCCAGATTCCTTGAGAAGTATATTACCTAAGGCTGTTTCATCATTAGAGTGGGCCATTTCTGAAGGGAAAGGAAAAGTGTATGTGCATTGCACGGCCGGACTGGGAAGGGCTCCTGCTGTTGCAATTGCTTACATGTTCTGGTTTCAGGGAATGAAGGTCAGTCCTCAAATCGTCTATTTTCTGCTGAGAATGTGAATTTTAAACTGCTTTGCTATATGAAGCATACTATTCTGCGACGTTATTCTTTTGCTACTTTCTCAGTTAATTGATTCTCTACTTGCATTATATATTTTCTGAGAATCATTTATGATTATGGAACAGCTAAACACAGCATACGATAAACTTACTTTAAAGCGACCTTGTGGACCCAATAAACGGTCGATACAAGGAGCTACTTATGATCTTGCCAAGAATGATCCATGGAAAGAGCCATTTGAGAGCCTTCCAGAATATGCTTTTGAAGACATAGCAAATTGGGAGAGGAAATTGATTCAAGACCGCATTCATTCCCTCCGTGGAACTTGAACATTTAGGTAAGCATACTTGTCATCTCAAAAGGCAATTCAATCCAAAATTGTAGCTGTCGGAAATGCTCTATTGTATGAATTGAGACCATAAAAATATGGACTAATGGTAGTGGTTATTTTATTGCATTCCATTTTTCTGTGCTAGGCTATGATGATAGTTTAAACCTTATTGACAGGAGAATATCAGCTACAGGGAGCTGGAGCCGTATTCTGAGTCTGAGGATTGTACAATTTGGCTCAAAGATAGAAAGGCCTTCAAGGAGTCTATTTAGATAATCATAGAGTTCATTATTTATTTTTTATTTGATAAAGTTTGTATCCTTGGAGTTTACACCATAGAAACACCATAAATAAATGTGGCACCAACCAAGATAGACCACAACCAGTGCAATTGAAGCCATAGAAGCTCTTCTAATATACATGCAAATGCTAGCTTAGATGCAATGCAATCCTTCTCAAAGATCAAATATGACATAGTAGTGAAGTTAACAACAAAGCAATATGAAAAGCTGTTGATCATATACGGGATAGAAACGGATTGGAATTTCATTCCTAAGGAGGTTAAAATTTAGAAAAGAATTTACTGGACATTAGCAACGGATATATCCGTTGCGATTTTAGAACGTATACTATATCCAATTCTAAAGTTCTCCGGTATCCATTTTAAAGTTCTCCAGAAACGCCCCAAATTGTCTCGGATAATTTCCACTTCTGATCCATTTCTAAACCGATTTAGCAACAGATTTTGATAATTTAGAACCGAAACGAATATCCATTTCTATTCAAGTTTTTTCTTGTAGTGACAGGAATGGCAATCAAGAGTAGAGATTTTCCAGCTAAAGGAATGACCAATAATGTGGTTCTAATTTGGTTCCCTCTCTGAACAATTTTGGCAAATGACAATGTGCTGGAAATGAAAGTGGTTCCCAATCAAATCAATGGAAAAGAAAAGCAAAAGGATAATTGTATTCGAATCAACATCATGCTCTTCCTTTGAAAAAAAAAATTAAGAATCAAATTAATCATGACTCTACTTGAAAAGGAAATTAAAATTGATTGATTTTGTAACTGTTAAACAAAAACTACAGTGCATATAATTTTCCAATAAAAAAAAAAAAGAAAAAAGAGTTCTTCGAAGTTCAGACATTCTGGATCTTGGCAAGTTGTTCTTGACGCCGTCCTAGATGGAATGCTGTAATTATCCAAATCAGACAAACCTGTTGTCCAAATAAAAAAGACCGGAACCTTTGGAATTCAGTGGAAATATAATATCATAATAATAAAATGCAAGAGAAAGGAAAGAATGATCATCCAAACATATGGCACAGAAATAACACCTGGATAAGAAAAGGGTTTCAAGAACCAACAACGCCACTAGATCAGTAGTAATCCAGCTTAGAAATATATATACACACACACACACACATATATATATGTATATATGAAATACCAGTTGAACATACAGGCAATGCATAGAGCGACACAGTTGAGGTCTTCCCATGAAGAGTGCTGAATAGTAGCTTGTACATTCCTGCTGCTGTAGCATCTCCAAGCCGTTGAACGACTACATCTATACACACCTGCAGCATCATGTAAATAGTAGCATATTATGGATTACAATGTTTCGATGCTCACAATATTCCACTTAGTGATAAAGGAATATAAGATCTGTATGGACAAGTGAAAGAATGTAACATGGTGATGAAATTACTCCCAAGTCCTGACATATAATAAGAAAAGATCAGCATTCATCCAAGCTTAAAGGAGTTTCAAGGCCTTGCTCTGATGTTTAAGATCTCAAATTGAAAAGAGTTCAATGAACACATGAGATAAAAGGAGTGGGGGGAGAGGGGAATGGTTCAGGGATGAGCATGAAAAATGACATTATGTGGCCCAGGGGTGGAGCTAGGATAATCATTTTGTGGGAGCCAAATGAAATTTTTTAAAACTTTTAGAGAGAGGGGGGGGCACGGCCCCCTTAGGCCCCAAGGGAGCTCCCTATTCACATAAGTTGAGTCTTCATAATCTAATTCTCAACATAGTTACACAGAAAGACAATTAGCATGCAAAGGTCTACATACCTTTGCTTTGTATTTTTCTTCCTGTGAAACAACAGTAAATAGAAGTTCTCTTCCTGGCCTGGTCACCACGTAAGTGACCACCTGCAAAGTAAGAAATGACCAAATGGTGAGATCCCAATATGATCTCTAACTTCCTTGACCAACTCAGTTGGCCTCTAAGAGCAGTAGAAGTGGACAGTGTAACAATCTACATTGTAGCTAGATTATTAGTTCCACAAGTAATATGCATATTGAATAAAAGGATAAAAAGAAAAGGAATTTGTAACAAACCTTCCTTAGAGTCTCACAAATGGCAACTGCTATCCAAGTCGGCCAAACGGAAACTGCAACCAAATTTAGAAATGCAACAACTGGTGCAGAGCATATAGCAGTAGTCACTCCAGCAATAGTAAGGATACGCCCCTGTATTTGACAAGCGAAATAAAGAGAAACTATGAAGTATACATCTTAATGAAATCAAATACTGCAAAACATTATGATTTAGTACCCAGAAATATATAATTAAGAAATTCATCCCACAAATTTTAATTTAGTTCTAGAGCATGAACAGACAGCCATGACTACCAGAACCGGACATCATGGCTTCTCAAGTATTTTCTCTTAAGAAGTTGTCTTAGGTTAGATACCCATAAATCAATGATCTTCACCACATGGGATATTATTAAGAGATTATTTACTATGAAATCCTCTATTGCCATTATCTCAAATATATTAGTTAAAATTAATACTGAAGTTGGTTTTTCTTTGTTTTTCTATTTTTTTGTCTTTCCTCTTAAAAAGTGAACAATCAATTAAAAATTCAATAATGCATTAACGAAAAAGAATTTTAACTCTAATTGCATAAAGGAACCTTAATTCATCCATAAACACTTGAATATCACCCTTTCACCTAACATGGAAAACTGGAAGTTATAAAATAAGCCATGCTGAGGGAAGCATAGTAGTTATGAATCACACATCACCAAGTATGATGCAGTACATCTGATTATGAGATTGGTTTCCTTAAGGAAGTCCAAGAAGTATTTTTAATTTCATTTTTGTCACAAACAGATAAAACATAGAAAAAGACTCATTGAAAGAACTTTTAAAAATTTTAGCATACCGTTAATGTAAGTTGTCCAGCAAGGATAAAAACAGCAATAAAGCTATTTATCTGGGCAAACAATCTTCTTCTGCCAAGAGAACTTGTAACGGTCATGGCAATTACAGTCACTTTCTGAAATTGCAGATATAGACAAAGAGCAATCAGCAGTAAGAATACATTTTACATTTTCCGTATCAGAAACTTGGTCAAAGGTTTCATGAGCAGAGACAATAAATTGGATTGAGATCAACTGATATTGCAACTAGAAGAAAAGGTCCCCAAATACAAATCCTACTTCTAATGGAGGCCTAGCATAGGAGTATTAATTTCAGTGCAGAATAGTTGTAATGCGGTGCATGCGCATATAATTTGTACCTGTAATCTAATGCATATAAAAGGCCATAATATGAAGCCTAAAAGGAGAAGCTTAAAAATGCTTAAGAGACAACCATTTCTTAGCATTCTTCTCTTCTATCTTCTTTTTCTTTCATCCTTTTTCCAGTTAACAAAATATAGGGCAAAGATTGCCAAGGCAAAGCATAATCATTGTAGTCCTCTGTTCCTGCACAAATCATATATCCTAGATACTCCCTCTAAACATTGAATCTTAGATTTAAGAGGTGGATCTGTAAATACAAAATAAATAGTGAAGAAAAGAACAAAGTTTTTACCTGAAAATAGAAGAATGAGGATATAACTGAACTCAGCCACAGGAATAGGGACACATACAACAAATAAGTTGAAGATAATATAAGCCGGAATCCATCTAAGGTAGCCAAAAGCTGAGTCTTCACTTTGGATGTAGGTGACTTTGGAGAAAGCACTTTGGAAGTTGCTGCTGTCTGTTCATCAGCCTCACCACAGACCTTGCTTTGTAGATCAGGATCAACCTTTCTGTAGACCAGATGCGAACAAGTTACAACTTTAAGGACCTAAAAGAATAAATTTAAAATTGTGTTGCTAATTCACAGAAAATTATGCATAATTAATTTCTAGTTCTCTTCAAAGAAATTTCCTAGAAGAATATATTGATCCAACTGTAGCAGCTTATACAAAGGATACAAAAAAAAAAAAAAAAAAGGCAATCCATTTCTAAGCGATATGCCCAAAAGCTTGAAACGTTCTTCACTTTGGATGTAAGTGACTTTTGGTAGTAAAGTCACTCCTTGGAAGTTGCTGCTGTCGTTCATTCAGCCCTCACCACAGACCTTGCTTTTGTAGGAATCAGGGATCAAACCTTCCTTCTGTGTAGAACCAGAATGGAACAAGTTACAACTTTAAGGACCCTAAAAGAATAAATTTTAAATTGTGTTGCTAATTCACCAGAAAATTATGCATATTAATTTCTAGTTTCTCTTCAAAAAGAAATTTCCTAGAAGGAATATATATGACCAAACTGTAGCAGCTTATACAAAGGATACAAAAAAAAAAAAAAAAAATACAAGCATCATAAAAAAAAAAAAAAAAAATACAAGCATCATAATTACCATACACATGATAAAGTAATGCAAGAGCTCACAGATGTTCAAGATTGCTTAGAAGCATTCTCCAGAAGGCAATTGAACAGAAAAGGTACTAATACAACTCTATCCCATTGAAAAGGATGGTTGTAGAAGCATTAAGGATAACAAGTAATCACTACACAAGCAATGAATGGCTATGCACTATGTTGTAAAGTTTCAGAGTTAGTCAAGCTTGCAATGCATTAACAAATTTCTCATTGTTAATATAACTTTTTACTTGACACTGGTAGTAACTTTAATGTTTGAACACATAATCTGGTACCTTATGGGAGATAATTCTTCAGGAATTTGGGATGTATCTCTCTTGATCCCTTTTGATGACTGCGCAGCAAGTTCCATTAACAAAGCTGCAAATAAAAGTAGAACTGCAATGGACCAGAAAATAGCTTAAACTCTAAAGCAACAAAAAACTAAATGGAAATTTGGAAGTTTACATCTCATCTTTCAAACAGGTGAAGAAGCATACATACATGGCCCCAACCAAGCCATTCCTGTTGCAAATAATGAGCCAAAAAGCTGCCCAAGTGTAGCACCAGCCCCAATGAACCCAAACAATCTTGAACCTGACTGAATACAAGATGATCGTCAAATGCAAATTTAGTAAACCATGATTCATCTTGAGAATCAGCTTGCTGCATGCTAACCTCGCTGTCCATCACATCGATTATTCTAGCCCAAGTTGAAGATATTGTAATAAGATTAAGCAGAGCAACCTTCAAACAAAAAAAAAGGAAGGAAGTTTCACTTTAAGCTAAACTTGAAGACAGTAAACAAAATGCTGGCGGATAAAAGTAATGAATCAACTATCATACCCAGAGAAATAATCCAATTCTCACAGAAATGTAAAACCATCTGTGTTCCGCCCAACTGCCAGAATATTGAGGAGAATCAGTTTGATTGTCATCTACCTTTATATCTTCCTTTAATTCTGCAGATATGGAAACTGCACCCTAGGCGTTGAAAAAAGATCACACGATAAAATTAAAGAAACAAAATTCAGATAACGAATAAATGAATTTACAACAACAACGAAAAAAAAAAAACTTCATGCCACACGCTACCTTTGTTTTGAATAGCAAAGTTCCACCTGATGAAAAATGCCATAGAATGAAGAACACGACAAGTGATACGCTAAAAAACCTGTGTATCAAAAGTAAAGCCTGGAATTTCAAGAAGCACCTATTACAAGACGATATGTATAAGCACATAAAACTAAAAACAGCCTTTACATTTATTTTAAACAAAGAAAAGAAAAGGAAAAAGAATTGTTAAATTCAGCTGTAACTTATGATTTCAGTAACAAATTGAAGGATTAAACAGCCAAAAACAAAAATGTAAAGCAAGTACCTTAGCTTTGGAGAAATTAGGCAAAGAGAAAATGAGAGTAGACAAAGGGGCAGCGATCAATGTGAGAGCTAAGGATCCAACAAATAAACCAGGTAAATTCGATAACCCTAGAGAGATCGCCCCGTCGTCCCTCAATGGTAACACTACAAAATACGCGCTTAAAATCTGCAACCAGAAAAAATAAAAACATATAATTGATGTAAAATTCTATTCAGGAAAACTTAAAAAACCAAAAATAGCAGAAGAGAATAAACTTCAGAGGGATTACGAAGAAGAAACAGGAGGAAGAGTGGAGCAGAGACGAGACTTCGTGAGGATGCACAGAGACGAATGTGGAGAGGATTGCATCCAATCGAGACCTGTTCATTCTGTTTAACAATAACATTTATATTTCGATTTGGTTAAAGGATTGATAATAAAAGAGTTATGGATTTCAGGTAGAGCTCGAAGGTCAATGCATTTCTTTCTTTCTTTCTTTCTTCTCGCAGAATTTTCAAATGGAAGAAGAAAAAAAAGAATCTCAATTACGGAGAAACGACTAAACGACTTAACGACACATAAACGGGCCATTTTTTATACGGCTTTGTTTAATGAGATAGGCCTTCTCTCTGTTTCATTAAGCCTATCCATGGGCTTTTTTAATTGTTCCGTTCGCATGGCCGAACCGACAGACTAGTTGGTTTTGGCAATAATGGCGTTTGTCTTTCATCAATACAAACGTCTTGTCGTTTATCACGGGCGCAGTGTCATGGCAAACGAAGTTGCTTGGGTTGACAAATCGAGAGTATGTTTATTACAGAAGATCCTGAAAACTTTCTCTAATGCATTCTATGGGTCGTTTCTTGGTTTGTATTTAATAATTTCCGAATCATCCCCTTGGTACACACATAAACGACAGAAAACCACAAGTACACGGCATGAATTTCCGAACCATCACATTTGCAGAGAAGCACCAGAAAACGACATGATTCATTATAAACATTGGACTGTAGTTTTACAGGTTGAGTTGAATTAAATTGTACATGTCATTAAATACAGAATGATTTCACTTGAGTCTCTCCATCCTTTGCCTTTCCAATTCCTTTACCATTTGCCAATGCTCGAGCGACAATGAGGTCTCACCAAAACTTGCAGATATTAAGCGGCCCATTGTCAGCCATCTGCAATCAAAATAACATATCATAAAAATCCAAGCAAGACAATGAAATATAGGAAGTTAATATCAAGCAAGAATACTTAATATCAGAGCTAAAATATTTATTAGAATCTCACCTACTAAAATCTTGGCTGCCTAAACTTCGATCTGCCTGCCTTGCAGCAACCAGGTCATTTTCTACCACCTGTGAAATATCAGCAATGGCATTAAAATTATTAGTTCACAACTAAAGAAGATGCATTTTAGCATCCTTCCATGCATTCGTGCAATTCTCCCATAATTGAGGTGATTATAACTGTTCTGAACTTCCATAACACAGTTAAATGATGAAATAAGACTTTTCTCAAAAAAAAAAAACCTTCTGCATTTCGGACTCAATAGAATGTGGCAATGATCTGACAGTGGCCAAGTACCATCTCCAAGCTTCCAGGACTTCTGCAGCCACAACTTCTGAGGAACCCACCAATGAAGGCTGGAAGGGTACGATTACATCAGCTGGCAAGATGTTTGATTTCCCCTCAGATAATATAAGCAATTGGACATCGGCTGCCATTTCCATCTTATAGAATGTGAAGTCATACTCAACCTGAGACAAACATATTTTCTTAATGAGTCAATTTTACTACTTCCAATACATGCATTGACAAACTGACATTAGGCATTTCTGTTACATTAAACATGAGAAGATTTTCAGTGCTAGATTATACATTCAAGGTTTTCTGTAGTTGATCTCACATACAGATTGATTAAGTATTCTAAACACACAATGCATGCACATACAGCCAAAAACAGAAGATGAATCTAACCTTTTGGAACTCTATCAAATTTTTTAGCAATCTCGCATTGTCAACCCCGACAGAATTGAGAGTTCCTGCTTCCAATTTAGTCTCATCAATCATCAAGTGTGAGCCCTCAGCAAGCTGAAGAGCTGCAGGTGTCAATCTGAAAGATAAACATATAATGAGGTTAAATTGCAAGTATGGATAGTTCTAATTCATCTAGTACATTAAATTAATGAGAGAAGGAAAAACAAAATTCTATAATAATTATGGAAGTGGCTACCTGTTACTCTGATAATCTTTTTTTGGGGCAAGAGAACTCCTGTTAAGATATTCCACAGTAAGGGGCATGCATTTTGTAAATGGTAGAAGGTTCTCGACAGCATCATTAAGTTGATTGCCAAATATGGAAATGCTCTCTTTGTTCAAACAAGTGAGATTTAATGAAAGCTTCCCAACTGCAACATTGTCCACCCTGGCATGCACCTGGTTAAGAAGTCAGTATTTTATGGTTGAAGGTGCTAGGGATGTGGATAGGGAATGATGGGATGACAGATGACATGCGTGAAAAAAATAGCGCATGCATAAAGTAGATGAAAGAGAGCCATTTACCCTGGACAGGAGATGCAACAACATGAAATGGGCTGCCACCCCATCATTGCCAAGAATAGCTGTTAGATACCTCAACAGAGCTTCTCTCACTTCTTTGACCAAATGGGGCTTTGGCTGTAGAATGAAAGAGAACAAGTACAGTTAAAGAGAGTGAGAAAGTGTCAAAACAACTACAAAAGGCAAAATTGGTTGCAAGTCAAAATCCATGCAGATCTTAGTTTTGCTGAAATACAACAAAGACAATGAAATCAATCAGTCTGGGTGAGATGAGAACAATGGAGCACGAAATCACCTCAATTATGGGAGAATTGCACAGAAAGTCACAAACTGCAAGCTTCTGATGAATAATACAATGAAGACGTGGCACCTTCACCCATAAGAAATGGTGCAAATATAGGTTTTAAATTAGATAGCATGTGAATAAAATGAGGGATAAATTTTCAACAAGAATTGGAAGCAACAAACTCAAAAATCTTCTAAAGCAACATAGATCATCAAGATAAGTTAATACCTTGTTGGGTGGCAAATGGACCAACATATCATCACTATAGTCATTAGAGAACCCATCGTGATCATCCTTCTCCACTGCAGGCTCTGAATCAAAAGTCAGAACCCCCACAAATTCAAAAACATCATTCAGCTTCAATTCACACTCAGGAGAATCATATATCTACACAATGAAATCAGGAAATTCATCAGATTGGAGAAAAAGGTTAAAATGGTTCAACAAAAGCTTTGAGTAACAGAGAACTAGAAAGTAATCTGGCCCCTTTACCTTTACTAGACAAGGAAAAGAATCTTCATCAATATCAGGTACAGCAATTGAACTAGAATATGCACATTCTGCATTATAGTCTTGAGACTTTGAAGATGAAGAAGGATGCCCATCCTCCCTCTAGAAAAGAAAAGGATGTCCATAAAATGTTTTAGAAACATGCATCAGCAATCACAACCACAAGGCATCGCTATTGATATAAATCTATTCAATAGAAAATACGAGAATCTAGGCAACAAAATGAACAGAATGCAAATGCATATAGTTTTAACTGAAGTAGATAGCAATCATCTCACAAGAAAAAAATAATAAACAAAACGGAAACAATAACAGTAATATTATATAATCTTGAAATTTAGATATAAATTGTGTTTGATTTTTGAAAAGAAAGGGTTCAGATGTAATCAAAATTTGATTTTTACTGAATAAAGTATTGAGAAAAATGTGGTCAGCAATCAGCTCAACAACAAACAAATCTATCTCTATTCTCTAGTCAAACAATCAATAGCAAGCAGGGCATGGTACTAATTGACAATCCAATCCTTCGATGACGAGAATAATTAAGAGAATAATGACAGGGAGAAAATTAGAAGTTAAACATTTACACATCTTCCTTCCATTATTCAAGCCCAAAAATCAAGTTAACTAACATTCAGACTTCAAGCAAAGTGACTGTAACATTAAAAGTTAAACAAGAGAACATCGTTCTCCTTCTTAACTTAAGAAAGTAAAATATAAAACTTTTATATGTCAAGCAAAGAACAAGATAAAGAAAGCACTCGTGCTTACCATCTTTTTTGCACTTGGAGTACCTTCAAACTCATCACAGGAAACCTGTCATTGGACAGTGATAGTCACGAAAGCCAAGCAATTAACAAAATTAATGCATAGAAAAGAGAAAATTTACTATTTACAGGACTAAGAACATTTATCAGGTTAGAACTAAAGTCAATATGACCATTAATTTGATGGATTATATAATGACGCCCATATTGATATGATAATAATCCACAGACCATCTGAACAGTCATATATTCTGGAGCTAATAAAACGGACAAAAAAAAAAAAAAAAAACCTGAAGCTACCCTATCGCAACTATAAAATGTAATAGTTTAGATAGTTGAGGAATACTTCATCAAAATAGGAGATATGAGAAAAAAAAAAAAAAAACAAATTTTAATAACAGAAAGTACACCACAGACCTTGTAATCCATAGCTTCAAAGTCCTCTCTACCACGCTTATCTCTCTGTTGAGATGTCCAATTCATGTACTTATCAATGGCTATCTTAGAAGCAGATTCAGCCCACGAATTTAGTCCTGGGACCTGGAAAGCCAGAAAAAGGCCGCATGCTCAGAATAATCAGTGACCACTAAAACAAAAGTTAGTTTCATGAACATCATAATCAAGCAATTTTATATCAATCACGTCATTAACCAGGACATACTTGATAACACAGTATGCTTGCAACAAAAGACCAAAGGAATAAACTTTTCAAGGAAAACTTCAGTACAAAAAACTCACTGGAACACAGTACAACAATCTACGCTCCCAAACACGCATATCTGGCGAAGAGCCCATAGGATGTTGAGAAAAATCCTTGAACTTGTTCGTCCTCCAAACTGAATCATCCTTTAAGACGCAAATACACCTGCTTTAGTAACAGTAAACAATATGCGTGTATGCTGTGGAGATGACTGAGTGTATAAATTTACCTTGTAAGCACCAACATAGAATTCATTTCCCAACATGTCTTGTATCATTCCCCGGAATCTGACTAGCGTGTTGGGTTGAACCAATCTTACAGTTGCAGGATTAAGAATGGGAACCTAAATTATTCAATAATCACATAATAATTAGCGAGTACTAGGAGATTATCTAAAATCTACACATAATCCAACAAGATCGAGATTATTAAGAGCTAATCCATATAAACATGACATCAAAGCTGGATCTGATAATCGGAGGTCAATCCAAAAGCTTAACCTTTAATATATCCTTGAAATACCTGGGAAAGGTGGGATTGGTCGAAGAGGAAGTTACGGAAGAGGTCGACGGCGCCCCAATCCTTGCCATCGAAGGAAGAAGGGTGCAAACCGGACCCGATCGCCTTATCGAATGTCAATCGGACAGCTCCGAGAGGGTTTGCCAAGCAATCGTAAGTTGGTCCGACCATTTCCGCTATGATTGTTATTTTTCTCTGCGGTAACTCTCTCGGAGACTCGTGGAGGTTGAGACTATGGAACGGCTTGGCGCGCTAAATGCTCATAAGTAGGGATAGTTCTTCCCGCCAAATTTGTTCTTCCCGCCATTTTAGTGACAACGGAAGCCCTACCCGACCACCAGAGGGTCGAGAATTTACAAAAAAAGTCACTACTATTTTGTGTAATTACATGTATGTGCGAGATGTAATTAACTTTACACGGGGTCGTTCGAGGCCAAAACGGCAACCTTTCACAACCTTTACGTTATAATATTTAAATAAACATTCTTTATGTGCAATAGGTAATACGAGCGATCCTTGGGTGACCGAGACGGCAGCGGATCCTTCACTTTGAGAGAAGCCATTTCTGACAATAAGTCCACCGGTTTCACCATCAACTCAACGCACACAGCACGAAGCAACCCTCGTATCATCTTCTTCTCTCCTCCTCTTCGACGAAAAATGGTCTTTCTCTCAGTTTGAACCACACAGTCCAGTAAAATGTCATGAGAATCACGCAAATCTATTAAGGCAGATTACGCAGCGAGATAGGAAGGGAACAGAATCAAAGAGATTGGTTGGTAAGTAATGGCATAACTCCATCTCTTTATTTCGCCATTAAATAAATACAGGGATCGGGGAATTGTTTAAGGCATTGTAATGGAGATTGGGAAAAGTTGATTCTTTTTACTGATCCCTATACAGTGGACATATAGTAACAAAAGATGCCTTATTTCTATGTTTATTATAACACACTCATTGTACTTGTCTTTTTGAAACAGCAGGAATTGATACTGGCAAATACATAATCAAGCTAACACGTGTGAAACATGTATTTGTCTCAGGTTTAGCCACAAGAATTACATTTCAAATGATGAATATGCAGTCTGAAATGCAATCTGCTGGTGGCAATGAGAAGGGCACTTTGTTATGGATATTGCAGCTCATGGAAACTTTTTGCTTTGATGATAGCATTTTGGAGCACTGACTGCGAGTTGTATTTATTGTGCATACTTCATTCCTTCCCTTTGAGCTTTTTGATATAGAAGAGGGAGCAAATCATTGGCAGTTGATATTTTTTGGCTTTGATGATATTCTTAACTTGATTCTATATGGTATGAAAATAGCAGGAATGCGCATATCAATTTGGCTTAAACAGAAATGTCATTGTATATCACAGCTGGGTATAGTGCACAGATGGATATACTCTTTTGGGGATATGTTCTTGGAAACAAAGGATCACGAAGCCGACACCAACTAATTTGGGACTAAAACTTAGTTGTTGTTATTCTCGGAGGATGAGTTTGATAACTACCATCTATAAGAGTGATGTAAAACCTCTATATATTTTGGCAATAATAATTACAATATTATGTTTCTTCCATTATGCTAGTGAATGTTTTTATGTCTTATGTAACTTTGCTTATTTGTGTTTAGAGATACTTTTTAACTTTATGAGAAGGTGGTTCATAATCATAAACCTACAACACATGCTTTTTTTTAAAGAAGTAAGACAACTATAACCAGAAACAAACAACTCATCTTTTTTAAAAGAAAGAAAGACAACTTTTTAAAAGAAGAATTTGATGTATAAAAATTTTGGAGAATAACCATCAATCTATCAGGCATTACAGCGAAGACAGCCATAATTTCCTTTTGTTGAGCAATATGCTAAATTGCTTAGCGTCAAAAACACATACTACATTCATCTGCTCTGTGTAGCTGTAAATTTTGCCTCAAACAGCGCCACTTGATGAACGGTAGGTTTGTGGTTAGCTGAACCACTTCTACTCAGAGAAAAGCCAGAGTTCCATATTTTGCCATCTCTATATTGTTGAAGGACTAGCATTATAATTTAACTAGAATTATTGATTCCATTGCGAAATTAAACAATATTGACATTTATCATTGAATTAATACAACAATTGAAAGACAATTCTCTTTATATTAAGTATCAATTATCTATAAAAATGAAAATTTCATTCAAGCAGTAATTCCCTTTATCTGGAAAAGAGTCTGGTAAAAAAGTTTCCAGAATTAGCCTTTTCTTGACATGCTACATGAACATATCTTCCAAACTTGTCTACTTGCCGTGCCTCACCTCTTGTATCTTTCTTGCACACTTTGCATGTCTTGTCAACCCAACCTTCTTCAACATATTGGCCATCCACTAATTTCAAGAAAAGAAAACAAAAATTAGTACAACTCTTAAGTCATCATTACACAACACTCAGCAGTATCAGATTTTATAGTTCATGAATTGCATACCATCAATGTAGGATTTGAAGAAATCCTTGTATGTTCCTCCAATTTTCCTTCTAAGAGCACCATACTGCATTGAAAAGAAATCCCAGTTAAAAAATAGCATAAACCATAAAATCTACAGTTTGTTTTTGAATCAATAATTGGGAAATTAACAACAATACCTGTTCTCTAGTCATTCTACCACCAGACCTGGTTTTTTCTCTGGCCTCTTCAAGAAGTTCAGCATCCTGTTCAGAACGAACTTGTGAAAAATCTAAAGCTTCAGTTACACTACTAAACAAAGATTGCTTTTTTCCCTTCTTTGCTTCCTCTTTACCGTTCTCCGATTTGGCCAAAACTCTAAAGTTAGGTTTAGACCTCCTTTCAACGCTTTGGTTATGCAGGAAATAACAGTTTTGTGAAGGTGACAGAGGAAGAGTTCTAAGTCCCATTCTTTTACTTTCCTTATATTTTGATTCCCACTTCGAAATTTTGCTTTTTTTTGCTCTTTTTATATAGTAAGTCTGGCTGTTCTTGGCCTGCAAAGCAGAACCACTAATTTGCTGCAATTTGTAATTGCATATAGTTTTGCTACCACTAGAAATATTTGGTGGTTAAAGGGAAACTACGTGGTCCTTTGACAAACTACTAGAATTGAGAGGAGCAATTGGTTCTAAATTTTTGTTAAACATGGAAGAAATAGAAATATCTCAACTATATAAAACATGGCAGAAATATCTTTGAAGATTCAATGTTGTTAAAACATTCTTGATTCAATCTCTCGATCGCGTGTCGCAAAGATTCCAAGATTTTTTTATAATCTATTAATCCCTCTAACTTTGACACCTACATTTTTAGATTGAACTCGAATTTCTGATATGGTTTTGGGTCTTAAACACTAGAGTGTTTTTTTCTTTTTTTTTTTGAGAAAAATGTTTTTACACTTTAATCCTTATCTACTTCCATTTTTCTATTTCATATAATGAGGAATACATAATTCTATACTAACATTGATAATTTACTGATACAGCTCTTCAGTTTTATCTCTACATAAAACATACTATTGCTCAAAAAAAAAAAAAAAAAATCTATGTAAAACGTGGACAAAATTACTTGCATGATATTTTACACAACATAAACCATGCCAACCTCTAGAAGAGACCCTGGTGGAACTTTGAGCGCCACATCTGGCCCCCTGCAGTTCCTTCCAAGGAAATTATAGCCAAAATTAATAGCTAATCTCTTTAGGAGAGATGACCCTTGTTTTGCTTGAACATGTGAATGCCCCAGTATAAATGCAGTACCGGCTTGTTGAGCTGCAAACAGATCTTCTAGCTCTTCTTTTAACTGCACATTCATATCAGATTCTAGATGCGTTTCAGATTCATCATCGATGGCGAACCTCACCCTTCTTTGTGTAACCCCAACGGGTTCCATTTCAATAATGTCAGCCATACTTTCCACTGTCGAAAATCCGCCTGATACACTTGCTGGCTGCACATTCTCTTCAATCTCGTAAGCTGGTGTGCCGGAAAATGACATTGTTCCAATCACTGCTAATCTACATTCACTCGTTGATTCATTGGATCGAGGTGCATCATCATCTGTACATGAGTCACTCCCATGCCTTCGATGGCAATCATACTTGATGAAATCCGCCAGTCTGGCAACTAGCTCAGATTCAAAAGAATCAACATCCTGGTGCACATCACGGTATCCATACCGAACAATGCATCTATATGATCGATGAGATGGAGGGCCCACACGACCAACAAGATACCTTTCAGCAGGGGGCACGTGAGGGACAGGCACTGATTTTACACACACGAAGACAAGGATACGATGAAATGCAGGGAGGTTAGTGACAAAGCGGGAAAAGTTAGCAGGGATGCCAGAGGTGAGATCAGTGAAAACTAAGCCAATGCCAGGTACTCGAGCAATTCCTAAGCTTGGACCTAGAGCTAAAAGCCAGTCCAGTGATACTTTGTTATGAAGGTCAAATTCATATTTTTTAATGGTGGCATAATGCCAAACAAACATGATAGTCATGAGGAAAAGGGCTAAGAGGATGGGGAGCCAGGCACCCTCTGTGAACTTGGTGAGTGAAGCTGAGAAGTAAAGTAATTCAACTGTGCCAAAGAAAAGTAGAAAAGCAAGAGCTAAAATAGGGGGCTTGTTCCAGCAAACAATGATAACCAGGGAAGTAAGGCAAGTGGTCACTAGCATCACTGTCATCACTGCTAATCCTGCAATAGAAAATAGTAAGATCATAAAACTTCAAGTCCATAGACACAATCTTAATTGTTTGCTTAACAATAATTTGGTTACCAATCGTGGGGTAAGGCATGCTGAATTATAAGAACATACATGGTCAACGAATGTAATTCAGACAGACAGGCAAATGGTGCTCAGCTTGCAACAAGAAAGCTTACTAACTTGATGATAAATTACAAAAATACGAATATATGATAAGATATGCAACTTACCCGATGCATTTCCCATGTGTTTTGTATCTCTAAATCCAATTGTCACAGCAATACAGAGGATCATGAGAATCCAATTGATCTCAGGGATATATATCTGGCCATGTATCTCATCAGAGGTGTGAACAACCTTTACTTTGGGGAAACAGCCAAGTGACTGGCTCTGGTTTATAATAGAGAATGTCCCACTGATGATTGCTTGGCTTCCAACCACAGAAGCGAGAATAGCTATTATGAGCACTGGCAACCTCAATTTTTCTGCAACAGAAAACCTTTAATCATCATTATCGATTCGAGCACACGTGAAACCAATACACAACTTTTTGAAATTTGCTAGGACTATCATTTATGATGACTCATTTTAAGCATAGGTATGGTATGGCAGCAACTATCCACTGTACTCCTGTCGATTCTATGTGTATTGACCATTAAAATTTCCTTTTTAAAGAATAAATGTAGGTATTACCTGGTACAGAAATATAAAAACCAATGTGATTATTGTTGTCATGATGCTGCGACAGATAAGCAGCTTGCCCCATATATGCCAATATAAGTGCTGGATAAACCAGAAAGGTGAAAGCAATCTGAAGTGTGACAAAGGAACAATAAATATAAATATAACAGTATTGATTTTTCTATGATCAAACAGGATATTAACTTAATATATATACCTGAATTGCAGCATACGAGAAATGGCCAAGATCAGCAAACATTGCCTCTGAACCTGCATATATAATCATGCATATTATTGGTACTCATTTATTAGTGACTTGGCAAGACCTAGCAGATACAAACAGGCAGACTTCCAAAAAGGTAGTCAAGCAAACATCCAAGGCATAATTATGCACCTGTTATGCACAACAGTATTCCACCCAAAGACATCCATCCGCCTTTCCTTGTTTTCTTTAAGAACTTGAACATGTAATATGGAGAAAGAGCTTGATAGACATATGGATTCCAGTGGATTATGTTATATAAGCCAAGGGCACTGATGCATAGCAGCCATGTCAAGACAATTGGTGCGAAGAAAAATCCCACCCGATGTGTGCCGTAGTGTTGAAGTGCAAAAAGACAAACCAAGATGAAGCAAGTGATTGGAATCACAGCATCTGCTAATAGGTAAGGCAAAGAGTATTATAGTTCATTTAAAACTAAACATGAAACCAGCACATAAATGGTAATCTTACATTGCTAAACTGATTACGCACATACGATATATGAATGCGCTGCGCTATGCACCAACATGTATTTAATATGATAAAAGTAAAATGGAAATACCAGTTGAACTAAAGACTGAAAAATATGTACAAGAGAGTGACCTATGGCTTTGCAATGAAGACAATTCTTTCTCAATAGCATCTAATTGTAACCACCTCTTGTATATTGACATATTTAACTGTCACAGAAATGCATTGATAAAGCAAAATTATAGAGCTCACTTGTGAAACTAAATCCCAATTTCCTTCCATAAATTTTTCATTTCTCCTTTTCCATGTCTGCCAATGAAGACATACAGAAAAAGTTAAATACTTCATGAACACAAATTTCAGAAATCCATTTTTTTCCTATTTAAGTCTACTAATGGAACAGGTTTGATTATAGACTCTGTTGGATTGAGACTTGGGCAACAGTCTCCACACCAGAGAAAACAAAGGTTCAATCATAAGAAATTAGACATTATAGCAAACTTTATTATTCCATATTGATCACAGAATTATTATCTACATTTACATATAATCAGTTCAGAATTTTATTAAGAAATAACTCTTTCTTTTCACTAACTTGAAATCAGAAATGATAAGAAGTAGCAGCAACCACAGCATGCTATTCCTTTATCAATCTGACTCAGCGACAGAATTCTTATATTCCCTAAAAAAAAATTGTGCATTATACGAGGCTGACAAGGGGTCAAAGTATGGCAATTCAAGACCACAGCATGCCCATAATGGTCCCAAAACTTCCAGGCCATCCACAAACTGAATGAGAACGACAAAGTGGACCCCACCCTACCCCCCTTCAAAAGATAGAATCCAAGGACCACTTCTAATGGCCAAATACATGCACCAGTTTATGCGTTTGAGTAACTCACATCACTTTGTCAACATTTGATAATGTCACATTTACACGCAAACACTACAAAGCAAAGAAATTTTATTCACGAACAACCAAGTCCAATTCCTAACCTCTCCCCTATTCTACCTAACCCAGTTCTCTACTTCTCTAGAGAGCCGTAAACACAAGTCCAGTAATTTTGAGTCATATGAAAGTAATCCGTGTCGGAAACAACAAGCTCAGTTATTCTATTAAACATAACTTTCAGATTTTCTAATATTAATAATAAATTAAAAATGGTAGAAGTAAGGCCAATGCAAGTAAAGAAGAATACACTGATGATGCTCCTTGGACATGGATAATTCAAGGCCGGAAACTGCAGAAAAAACTGCATAGAAACAAATAAAACACATATGAGTCAGCAAACTGAAGGAACTGAAGCAATGTAAAAAAATTAAATTAAACTGAAACAAGTACCAGAAATTGCTGGAGTAAGCAATCCATCTCCAATTACCATACAAGTACCAAGAAGAACCAAAATCAGCAAAGCAGTATGCAATCCCTTGTGCTTCTCAAGGTAAGTTTTAACCCTTGAACTGTTCTTCTTTTCTGGAGGGTGCTCCATTTTGTAAGTGGAGAGTGCTTCATCTAAAACCTGTCTATTGGGCAAAAGGCTAACCTTTGCATGCCGGCATATCAAAGAATACAGCGCAAAAGTACCACCTACAGAATTAATCATGAAAAGGTTTTCAACTGAGGTTCCCAACTGATATAAGCATAGCGTAATTGTTCAGACGATTACCCTCTCCATTATCATCAGCTCTTAAGACAACAAACACATATTTGAACAAGGGGATCAAAGTGAGAGTCCAGAAAATAAATGATAAAACACCAAAAATCTCTTCATTAGAATCTGAATGTTTGATGTCTTCTGCAAATGTACTTTTGTAAACATAGAGAGGGGAAGTGCTAAGGTCCCCATACACCACTCCAAGACTCTGATAAGCCAAAATCAGAAGTGTCTTCCAAGAATCCTTCTGCAATGCAATTTTACAAGCACATTTCTCAATAACTCAGCCAAGTTGCAGCAGCAGCATATCAAATAACCAAGTTTTAATGAATTGAATTTTTTTTTATATGTTATGTCAAGTAAGTGGTCCGAAACTTGAAACAAGCAATGCCTAAATATAATTTAAAGTGCAGATCCAAGAATTTGAAATTAAAAGGCCAATGCACTAACCTTTGAGGTATCCCAACATTTTCCATGCCCAAGATCCATAGTTTTCTATGCCTCAATCTCCAAACCGAATCTCTTGAAGTTCTTAAAAATATTTAGGCACTGATCTGCAATGAGTAAACTATTTGGACAGAATAATGAATTAGAATGAAACCAGAAAACATGATCAAGAGAATATCTTCATGAAACTTCCAAAGCAACTGTGCAGATATCTCTGCTTTACAACCGCAAACAGAGAAGATAAAGAAAAGCTGGTCACATTCACTCACTTTCCAATAAATTCACATGCCATCCATACCTCTATCACACCCCCACCAAACTCTTAGAAAAAAGAGCACATCTTTCGTGAAATTTTTCACAAAAACAATGAAACTCTCGAAGTCAAGTGACACCCACATCCTACAATTTTTGTTAAAATAGTTGGACCCTTTAAACTAAAATCAATCACACAGACCTTAATAAATGTAGAAGGGCCCTCATTTTAATTGCTTAAGATATATATTTACCTTTTTTTTTATTTTCTGGTTGTTATCTCACTGTTTCTTGCTCTTGAATCAAGCAAGAAGCCCAATCCAACACGAAATATTGAACAACAACCAGCCCATAAAAGACAAAAAGGGTATAGAACAACAGGAACTTTAAAATTAACAGTATAAATAGAGCCATAGTAGCATATGGTAGATAGTTACTACTTCTATCTTTGGACAGGAAAAAAAAAAGAAGAAAACAAAATTGAAGAATCCTAAGCGATGGCAACAGAAAAGCACAATCACGTGATACAATGGCAGTTACAATCACAAAACAATCAAACCACCACTGAAAAGTGCCCACTGCAATAAACGCCTATTTTGAGGACCATTGAACATACCCCATCATCTTTCTCTGCCCTTTTCTCTCTCTCTCTCTTGCACACGCAAATTAACATAGTACTTTAAATTTAACCACTCTTTATTTATTTACGTTTATTTCCATTGAGGAATTTCAAGATTCTTACCTATCAAAAGACACCCTTTTCACACTTTCTTCTTGCAAAAGCTCTGACGCTGATTTAAGCAGTTTAAAAAGGAAGGGTAGATGCACCTACATAAAATTGCTACTATCAAACAAATGGATTTGCAAACAAGCATCTCAAGAAAATTAAAAGAGACCAAGCCTCAATTGAACTCTTAGAAAGACCAGAACCACTCACAATCACAAATATCTTAATCTCCCAGCAAAAATTAATCTCCATAGACCAGAACCAGATAATTACTTTAATGATTACATTAGAGGCAAACCCATGTGAGTCATGAGAATTGAACATGCTTGTTAGCTAGAACTGTACTGATCACCAGCAGCCTTTTATAACCCATTTGCAGGCAACATTAGGCTCAGCTTTTTCTGTTTTCTTATACCCACTTGGCTTCCCTCCAGACCCACTTTGTCCTTTTTATCATATTAGCTAAACAGCGTTTTTCTTGGCGTATTATCTCTCTTCTTGCCCTTTATGTTGAAGAAAGATAGTGACTTGACCTCTGGTTTTAGCATGTATAGCTCACTTATGTGGGAACTTCTTATCCATCAAATATTTTTAAGCTTCAAAGCGAAAGAAAAGCTTAAATTGGAAAAGATAACTTGAACCTATAGAAACCGATAATAGTAAAGCTTTAAACTTTACCTGGATTTTCTATACTACTCTCAACCTTCCTTAAGAAAATGGCATTGCACTTTCTTTGGATCTGCAAGTAAACACTGAAGCAGCAATCAAATAGAAACGTGAAGTTCAAATCTTTTTGTCAAACTTCAATCCTCTTATTATCTTAAATTAATAAACAATACAATGAACTTGGGTCACTCACTCTATATAACTGGTTAACCAAAATGTAAGGCATGTGAGGCAGATTTGTAAATGAAGAGAAGATAGAGACTAAGCTAAAGACAGCTAGGAATGGAGATTTTGGATGGATTTGAAGGGTTAATTGAATAAACAAAAAGCTGTTAAGGCTGTCCAACCGACAATGGCGAATGTTACTCAGTTAATTGAACAGTAAAAAATTTAAATACTAAAAAGGAAGAAGGAAAAGGACAAGTGAGAGAGAGGTAACATTGATTCTGTGACAATGGATTTTCATCGAATAAAGTGATAAAAAAAAGAGCCATTTCAGTGTGTGTGTGAACATTTATAAATCCAAGTTGAACATATATAATTCCCAAACATATTATTAGTACAAAGGGGAATGTTTCTTTCTCTTCCATAGTTTGGTCTATAATTTTGCCATGCTTACAGGAATCAAGAACCACATTTCCATGTTTTTTTCTTATTTTTTATTTATATGCGTAAATTTATTCATATATTCAAGAGAATAGAGTAATATATTGAATTCTTTGAAGAGAACTCCCCTTTTAACATATTATCCTGTTTATTTATTGTAATATATTTCTCAACATTGACCAACCTAAAAATAACATTTAATTTATAAAACTATTACCGAATACAACTTAAACAGTAGCAGCAACATAGTGGAAGTGATCAATTTGTTGGAACTCTTCCAAATTCCAAGTCATAGTTATCTTTATCATGGTGGGTTGTTGAATGTCAATGTATAATTGTTTCTTCTCCTTTAATTATATCCATGTAATAATTCATTTTGGAAAATTTTCTTCCACTTTAGGGGCTAACTCTAAGCTATATCCCCAAATAGAGACCCTAGTTCATCAATTGACTTTAATTCATTCATTAAGAAATAATTCTTTCTTGAAAAAGAGAAAGTAAACATATTTGATCACATTAGGTGGCTTCTAGCAATGGACTACAAGTCATTATCTTAGAAACACCATTTTTATTAATTGAGAGAGATGTGAAAATTTATTTAATTTATTAAAAATATCTCTCTCTTTTAATTCCACGTATTGAATTAATCGCTGAAAAATGTATAAATTTACCTTTATATATATATATATTTTTTAAAGACCTTGCAACACATTAAATTTTTACTTTAATTTACTAAATGCTTTCACTTGTAAAATTAGATTGATTACACTTATAAATAGTTGAAAAATGTGAAATTCTTGTTTGAAAAATTATGTTAATCACATATCAAATTAGTATTTTATTTATTAAAGTCAAAATGCTCTCATCGCTTTTGTTTCACTATCGCCGGTCGTTGTAGTTGAATCGCACAAGCTTTTTTTTAAGGTTGCTTTCGATATTACTTAATTTTTTTTACCAAAATTGATATTATATTAATTGTTAAACCTTTCTACATTTTGTTTATTTGAAACCTTATTTCCGAGGTTTGTTAAGTTGTCCCTGAACAAATTGACCTACGTACATGGTTTCAAAGCCCAAACATACAACCAAATTTGCAGAGAGCCAGCCCACCTGACAATAGTAAGGCCCAACTCATTGTTTTTTATCACTCATAAATTAAAAATATGAACCAACCTTTTTCTACTTTTTCTATTCAGTAAGCAATTTTGTTTTTCCAATTAAAAAATATTAAAAATAAATTTTCTTATATAATAATAACTAGCAATATCCTCAGTTAAAAAAAATAAAATTAGACGAAAGTAATGATAATTTGATATTTTTGAAGCCTAGATTCTACGGTTAATAAATGGCTAGCAATTTTGCACCTTCTTAACTAAAAATTAGAATAAAGCAATCAAGCAATTTTTTTTTTCTTATCAGCAACAATTTCTTTTATTATTAAAATTTGAGAAAAAAATCCAATATAGCGAAGCATTTAAATCTAGTCCATCATATTTCCTCGGTACACTCATTTTAGTTCGAAAATACTAAGTGGAAAAACTCGGTAAACTATACATCAGCCTGAAGTCTCTTCTCGAGATGAAAAAAAAAAACAATTGAAGAAAATATCATATAGCTTCAATAGTAAAAATCAATCAATTATTACAATTTACATGGATGAAGATCAAGTTTTAGTTTGGTAGAACTTGAGAAAATACTTTTTTTAAACTAAATCATTCTTCAAAAGGGCTTGTGATTCTCTATAATTATCATGTAAAAGTGGTCAAAATCTATAACTTTCCTCTAGAAATGCTTGAGATAATTAATTGGTCATCAACTCAGCTTTTGTGGTTAACTATTAAGTAGACAAATGCTATTTTTACTATATGATATTACATTATTTTATTTGTCATAATTTTCTTCTAAAAATGTAACATTGATTTATTACATTTTCTGAATAGAATTGCATTTCATAAAATTATATTTTGTAATGATTTTGTAATCGCAATTAATTTTTTTTAATTTTTACTTATAAATAGGATTGTAATAAGATTAAACTCTATACCGCGCTATAGCTCCATTTATACACGAAACTAATATAAATAGAAACTTTTTACTTCATTTTTTTAATATATGGTTAAATATACCCTCGTTTCGAAAAAAAAAAAAAATTGTTCATTTCTATTTTGAAGAGCCATCTCAAAAATATCATTTCAAAAAGAGAGAGAAAGAGAGTGATGAGATAGGATGTTGTTGGCTTCATTGCTTTATATTTAAGCATACAATATAATGAAGCATGCAATTAGATGGGAAAAGGAAGGCAGAATTATCCCTTTGCAAAGAAACAATTTATAATAAGTACTTTAGCATATGCTGCTAATTTTCTATTTGTAATGATAAAAAATTGTGGGACTTCACATTTTTTTTTTTGTCTTGGATAAGAAGCTATGGACCAAATTTTGTCCAATAATTTTGTGTCTTCCTAAGACAATATCATGCCAAAACTTCCAATCTTTGTCACCAAAACCAACCCTTTTTTTAGTATAATAAATTAATTTAAAGCATGAAATTTCTTTTATAAATAATAAAATTTGATTTAAGGATATTAAAGTCTAAAAAATTAAGATTTATGAGAGATTTGCATATCAAATGAAAAAAAAAAATTACAAATTTTTACACAATGCATTTAACAACAAAATCCAAATATGAAAGACTTTATTAAAATGCTTAATTATTTATTAACATCAAAATAAAATAAAAGAAATAACTGTATATAGAACATGAACAAGATGAGAATTGACACAATAACATAAAACATAATATGTATAACAATGAAAGAAGATTCAAGAAACAAAAATAATTTTTTTTTAAAAAAAAGACAGCAAGCTTCAAGGGAGAAGAGGAAGATAATTAATATATAAATATATATAATAGAAAATGTGAACTCTCATTTTCATTTCAATGACCAACACCAGGGCTTGGAACATCACCATATCTTCTATAGTAATCATAATCTCCTCCTGCTTCTCCTGCTTCCTCTCCTGAATCATCTTCTTCCATTTTTACATTCTTTTCTGCTCCTCTTCTTTCAACTTGACATGCGAGACCACAGTCCAAGCCAACCCTACTAGCCACTTCACATTGAAACATAAAAAACAAAAGAACTACTAGCATCAAAAAAAGATTACTTGCCTTGGCCATTTCTTGAATCTTGATATGGTAGTTAAGCTCTAGGGAGCTAGTCTTGAAGGAGATAAAGGCTATATTACTTTGAATTATTTATAATGCACTATCTTGGAGTGCCATGATTTTTAGAAAGGTAAAGTAGTAATGTATTATTATATGATTTCATGAATGTAGGGTCATAAAAAATGAGCAGTACATAGCATTTATGAGAAAAGAATTATATATTTTTTGATACTTTTATGACTTTGTCGTTGACCTCAGTGCAATCCTTTGTAATTAGGAAGCATCTTGAACATGAAGATGTTATTAATGTCATATTGCATTTACCAACAGAACATCTATGAAGAAAACACATGTCTGGACAGTTATGATGCATGGAAACTCCTAGCTATAGGCGTATCCACATTTCGAAAATGTTTTTCCATGTCTATTTTTCAATATGAAATATCGTTTTCTTGTGCAAACTAACGTCTCAAGCTAACCTCTAATCTGCTGCGGATGTTACGGTCACTAACTAATTGGAAGAAAACCATTGAAATGCCATTCAAGAAAAGGAGTTCTAGTTCAATTCTCATATCATCATCACATTTAGTCTTGAGATGGGTTGGGTTCATAAATATGTATAGATACCTTTTCTTGAACTTGTGCAGAACTATTTTCTTGAATATGATGACATGTCTGAGGTTTATTTACCATGAAACCTTGAATTTCAGGCACTCTTAATTAAGATGCTTGTAAATAAATGAGATATAAATTGAAGTCTGGCCCTGAATTCTTGATTTAGAGGTCTGAAAGTTTTTGGAACTAAGATACTCTGAATTGATAACTCTCATGGCACATGAAAACTCAGACTTTCTTATTTTTCATTTAACATTCGCTCAGAAAAAATGGACCCACAAACTCTTTAATTATGGATGATAATCATGCTAAG